ATTTTCATGGAGAGGAAGTTGTGTCCAGGAAATTTTTTAAATGATAATTAGCCTAGGACTGCTGATTAAACAGTTGAAGTGGAATTATTACTCTGAGGTTTTTCAGAGCTTATAATATAGCAATGTGTGGGTCATTTCCTGTCTCATCAGATTGCAGAACTGCTCTGTGTGGAGCAGAGTCGTGGTTCTTGTAACACTGTGAAAACCGACTAGCTTTACCCTGAGATGGATGGCAATAGAACAAAGCAAGCAACACTGCTGGTCGTTAACTTACATTTTTAGCACATTTTGCAAATCACCAGGCTTCTCATTCCCCATGTGTGGACTTATTTGTATCACATTTCCCAGATAAAGGGACAACTCTCTCGGGGTGCCTTCGAGAAGGGTTTCCTGGAACTCAGAAATTCCTGCTCCCAAACTGTCCCAAGTGAAACAGGTGATGAGCCACCTTCCTGCGAAGGACCAGAGACCTGGATTCAAATTTCCCCTTTGTCACAGAGTTTTGGGTCTGTATCTTAAAGAAAACCCTGTAACTTGGAATCTTTACTTATAAGTTTGGAATGAAAATCTCGGCTGCACAGGGATTTTTAGGAAGACTTACTCAGGCTTGCTGCACTGGGTGAACAGGAAGTGACCCTTTTTTCTCATTTCCCAGCCCTCCTGTGATGCAGAATTCATTGCTCTTGTCTTGCCAGAAAGATTAGACCCTAACACTTTAGTTAACCTGGAGCAGCAAATGGTAAAATATGGGCTCGAGTTTTGTCATCTGATGCTAAATAGAGTGCTTTCTAAACTATACTCAATCGCATTTCAAGTTTCAAAGAAAATTTATAGTGACTATTGATAGGAAATTTTTTAACGCTTTAGTTTATGTAAATTTTAGTACTTTCTTAACTCTTTCCTATTTGATCATGATGTGGATGGCATGTTTAAAGATGTCATCATCATGATGATCCATACAATTTTATATTGAAGCCTGTTTATACTCTTTTGTATTTATAAAGTTGAAATGAAGACAGAACTTTCCATACTCTCCCTTCCTTTTTATGTCAGATATGTCATATTCTGGTAGCAGTGATTAACACATTATTAAATGGCTTGTGTGATGACTATTGGCTATAACAAGCACATTTAAAAGACATTCATTTTATTTTTGAAAAAATAAGTCTCAATAAATATACATTTAAAATGGAATCAAAAGCACATTTGGAAAATGGACCATAGAAACGATGTGATTGTGAAATAGCATTGGAAACATCATGATGCCCCACTGAAATATAAATTTTCAGTGCAGCTGAGGGATTTCACAGAACACAAATATCAGGGCAGAGAGAGAGCGTTTGTTTTCAGAGAAGGAGATAGTTACATTGCCGCAATGTTCCCTTCAAATTAATTTACATCTACTTTAGTGAACGGTGAAATAAGAAGGAAATATTTAAGTATCCAATCAAAAAATGTGAGCATACTTGTTTAGGAAAATAAATGAGCCATATGTGCAGAACATAAACCAAAGGAACTCTGGATACACAAGCAGTTGATTTCTCTCAGCCCAGAACAATGTTTCTGTGATTGTGACTTTTAATTTAAAATTATAATAAGCTGAAGACTTGATTAGATTGAGCATTTGAACCAGGCTGGAAGGATTTTTTCTTCTTGGTATGCACATGCTTGAAGTCATAATGCTAACATCCTACACAGACCTAGATGCACTGAGTTCATTCCAGCTGATCTTATTTTTTAATATAATCTACCAACATTTATAGACTTCTAAAACATTTAGTAGGTGGCTTTGTAGATTTCTCCTAGGAATGTGAGTAAGCTGATTCAGGGAAAATTTTTGGCTTTTAGCTAATATCGTAATTTTAACACAAATTCCAGTATTTCTTAGCATCCAATTTACTCAATTTAGGTTCCGTTTTCTATTTCGAGATCTAGACATTATTTTAAGAGTTACGTTGGCAATGAACTGATTGCTGTATAAGAAGACTAATCCATGGTTATTTTCCCTCCAGGATAACAGAAAAAGATCAATTAGTATAAGTTGCCTAAATGAATCAGGAACATGCTATATTTTGCCTACTTTCTTGGATGTAGTGTTTAAAAGTAAATGTTACAGATTTTGCAAGACAGTAATGGGGAATAAGATTATTTATTTATGTATTTATTTTTAGATCTTTTTGATTTGAGGTAGCTAAAATTCTCAGTGCAACCATTTGGGAGATATAAAGCGGTGTCTAGATATATGTTCAGGAAATGTCTAGACATTCCTCGGAAAACTGAGGGCATGGGACAGATTTACCTGTGTGTCTGTAGTGATACTGAGCACAAGGAAAGAAACTTTAATTGGTCAGCTCTGAGGAGAAATTTTAGAGAGAAAATGTACAGATAGTGCGAAGGTATAGTTCTGTGGTAGAGGGTATGATTCGCATGTGTTGGGCTTTGGGTCTAGTCCCAGAAACCCCCCAAGTCCCCAGAGAACTTAGAAAATGTACAGATAAACACAAATATCTTCGAGTTCTAGCACTCAGTTATAGTGTACCTGGCCTTGAACTCATTTTGTCATTTTCTCTAAAATTTCTCATCAAAATTATCCGTTTATATGATAAAACGAAAATGACTCAACTAAACTAATTGACATAAGGATTGCTGAGGACCTCACCTTATGATTTCTTCATAAAAATGGAAACTTACAGAATTTCAGGCTGCGTGGAGGCAACAGATCATAGCATATAACTGTTTCCTTATGTGGCGTATTGTAAAATCTTTCATACTGAAAGAAGACAGCCATCCGTTCTCATATAAGCATCTTATAATCTTATAATATCACAATACATTATAAGGATCAGATTATATATCTTCTTTTTTTCTTTTTTTTTGGACTGAGAGTGAATGTGAGTGTCAGTAGGGCAGGAATCATAGCAACGTCTCAGACCATCTTTCTTCCCCCCCTCTCCTTTCTGCCCTCCTTCTTGGTAAGCCTCTTCATTGTGCCCACCCCTGCCCTTGGCTGTGGGAATCCAGTGGAGTAAACATTCCCCGGGAGTAAATATTCTACTGGGGAGGAGAGATACAGGAGACAAGAATAAACCACAAGACCTCGGACAGTGGGAGAAGGGAACAAACCGGGTCCCAGAAAGGCAGCAAGGGTTAGGAGGCTGAACAGCTGAGACAGCGCTGAGGAGGGAATGTTCGAGGTTATGGGTGGCACTCGGAGCCCTAGATGGAAGAACATGTAAAGAGAGCAGAGCGAGCAGGGTCACTGGGAAGGGGCGCATTTAGAGAGTTCCTCTCAAAGAACTTTCCTGGGAAGGAAACAAAAAATGGGGTGGACAGGTGGACATGTGGTTAAGAAGTGGACCCTCTCCCCCTCTCGAGACATGGAGAGCAGGGGGAGAGAGCAGGCAGAGGAGGGGTTTGGAGATAGGAGTGCAAAAGCTCCGTCTTTAAGGAAGCGGAAGCGGGGAGCGAGGTCCGCACAGGGCCTGGGGAAGCTCCTGAGGTGCGATTACCCGACTCGAGCTGGAGTCCATAGACCATAGATGGAGGCAGACAGGGTGCTTAGCAGTGGACACCGGACACCGGACCATTTCGGGGTCTGGTTGGGCAACTGCTTGTCCTCCGTGCTATGTAAGGAAAAGCCGTCAGATCAGCAGGAGCTGGAGAAAGAGAAGTGTGGAGGTGAGGACACCGAAAAGAATTTAGAAGATGCCAAGTGGTCGGTTTTGAGGGGGCGAACTGCCTTGCCGGCGAGGCAGGGCGCACTCTGAGAACTCTGGCTGCTAGGTTGGGATTACAGTTAAGACCTGGGAGGGTCTCCGGGTCGTTACGGTAGGACACTCGTTCCAGTTTGCCTTCACATTGAGACCTACTCATTGGCAAAGATCGTAAGCCAAGCTTTGGTGTCAGACAGTGGCGGGTGATTAGTGACAGTGGCACTGCCCAGTGACTGATGACACGCGCGTAGTCATACCCACTCAGCCGTCCAAGCCCGGCGCCGTCTGCCTCTGTGCTCCACTTCCCGGAGGCTCTCTGCTGTCCCACCGCACTCTGCACACCGCGCGTCTGGGGTCACTGTTGGCTTCGGCTGGGCACACAGTGAAACTGTGAAGATCGTGGCTCTTCTGCTGGGTCAGCTCGGGGACCTGGTGTATGTGAACATCGCCAGGTTGAATTAGACAAGAAGGGTCCTGAAACTAATCTGCAACCTTTCCACATTCCCCAATGACTCTTTTATTAGACAGGGAAGAACATTTACTTCTGAATTTGATAATTTTGTACATCACCAAAACTGGCCATAAATTGCTTTATGTGTAATGAAAAACTAATTAGAAGAAAGGTAGCCACAGACTTACTATGAAAAGATAGATCTCACCTTAAGAAGCTGAGACACTAACATAATCGAAAATGTTTAGAGTCAAGTTGGTGATGGTGCATGCGTGCAGTCTCATCTGCTCAGAAGGCTGAGGCAGGAGGATCATGAGTTCAAGTTCAGCCTGGGCAACTTATGAGATGCTCTCTCAAAATAAAAATGACTAGCCAAAATAAAGTGGCTGGGGATGTAGCTCATTTGTAGAGTGTTTGCCTAGCATGTAGGAGAAGGCAGGTTCAGTCCTCAGAATTGCAAATAAACATACAAAGAAAGTTTAGAGTGAAGAGCACATTCCAAGCTGGGCATGGTGGTGCACACCTTTCATCCCAGCACTTGGGAGGCTGAGGCAGGAGGATCGTAGTGAGTTCAAGGCCGACGTGACCTACATAGTGAGTTCAAGGCCAGCCTGGACTACGTATCAAGACCCTGTCTCAAAATATGAAAATTTTAAAAGCGCATTCCTTAGTACCAACATTGCATAGTACTTCTCGTGGCTTCTTGGGCTTCTAGATGTGCCTGCTGTGTTTGAACTCTCTTGAGTTCTCGGCAGGGCATTGCATTGCATGGTGAACACCCGCAGAGGGGTTTGCCAGTGAGCAGCAAGTTCCTGAATGTGTGTGGTCCTTTCCAGTACACTTCCGCCCTCACCTATGACGCTGTTCAAGTGATGACCGAAGCCTTCCGCAACCTACGGAAGCAGAGAATTGAAATTTCTCGGAGAGGAAATGCAGGAGACTGTCTGGCGAACCCTGCAGTGCCCTGGGGACAAGGTGTGGAAATAGAAAGAGCCCTGAAGCAGGTCAGTGCCTCCAGTGCAGTGGTCAGGAGGTGACATTGCCCTCCTGGTTTAGTGCTCCTTGTTCATTCCTATGTTCAGTAGGTAGGCAGTATTGTTTCCTAAGGATGCACAGATGTGTTGAAGGTGAAGGAAGCATTATCAAGGTCATTTTCTTTTCCTGAGCTCAGGGAGAGTGTTCTGTACAGTTCATATCTCTCACTGAAGTAAATTTGTAATCCTGCTCCTTTTCCATTTCCTCAACAGGTTCAAGTTGAAGGACTCTCGGGAAATATAAAGTTTGACCAGAATGGGAAAAGGATAAACTACACAATTAACATCATGGAGCTCAAAACTAATGGGCCCCGGAAGGTAAATCTTTAGAGATTTAGTGGCAGTTGCCTGTCTTTGGAGGTGAGTTAGCTAAGTTATCATCGCAATTTCCAAAGAGCCCAGGAAAGAACGTTCACGAGCATAGTGTTGAACAACTTCTAAAAACATATTTTTTTCTGAGTCAAATCTATTCCTTTCCGGTAAGTAACATTTACATGTAATTGTAAATAGTACCTTTAGGTAAAACTGCTATACTTTTTTAAACACTGTGGTCGAAAAAGACTCTGTTAAAAAGGAAAAGATCCATTACTGAATGTTTAGCATTCAGAAGGCGCAAAAATTTAGCTGGTGAAAATGTGCACATAACTGGTCATCCAACAACTTTCCTTTACCTGTTACAGTTAAAATGTCAGTGTTTGTAATTGGTTTTGTGTTCCTATGCAATCACTTTCAAAGAAATTATTCACAGATATTATGAAAGGTGGATACCCAGAGGCCAGGACGTTTTCAGAATTGATTTTATTTGGTTTGTATCAGGTTTTCAGATTCACGTATGTAAGAGACACATTTTTTGTTTAGAAGCTCAGTGATTGTACTTATAATTTGAGATTGAGATGTGGCTTTGACAGTGATGAAGCATGCTGCTCCTGGGAGAGGCACTTGTCCATGCTCTACCTGCCATGTCCTCTTTCAGATCGGGTACTGGAGCGAAGTGGACAAGATGGTAGTCACCCTGACTGAGCTGCCACCTGGAAACGATACCTCTGGGCTGGAGAACAAAACTGTTGTCGTCACCACAATTTTGGTAATAAGCCACATTTGCTTTTGTCAGACTGCTTTTTTCCTTAAACTCTCTCCCAAGGATAGTTACTGCTTATATTTTATGGCGATAATTAATATCAAGATAATTGTGCAGTGTTATAACCATTTATTGCGTGTTTGCTGAAAGAATTCTGCAAGGTCAAGCTAAGGCATTCCAGATGTTCATTGTCTTCTTCAAGACAGAAATTTAGCATGACAGACCATTCAGACTCTGTTGCATACCCAGGTGAACAACTGAGAAAAGTTGTAAACAATATTTCTCACGCTCCCCAGGTCCTTTGCCTTTCTGTTCCCACCCAACTGTGGATGAACTCTAACTTTACATTTATTAGATGGCTTCATAATGTTGTCAGCTATTCCTTCATAAAAATGATGAATTCCTTGGGGAAAAGGATGACCTCCCTTCTTTGGACCCTTAGTTTGAACAGAGATGCCCGGTACAAAATACATGCATATTAGATGAACGAAGCAAATCTGAACTGAATATTAATGTCTAAGCTTAAGCGAGCTGTCCATCAAGCTGGTAAGCTGTGATGGGAGTGAAATGGAGACAGTAGAGCTCATTACAGGATATGATATTGTGACAAAACTATTGCGTTTTGTTTTATTTTAGCTCTAGGGTAATAGCTTTGTGAAATTCATTATTCTAATAAAATGATCTGCAAGTGTAGATGAGCTACTATGGGATTTACATTAATAACATTGGTAGATGGCTCTGGGAAATTTCTTAGTAAGTTCAAGTTGGACATTTGAGGATTCTTTCCCTCATCTTGTCACTGGTGTCATTGAAAGGAAATACCTCATGGAGACTTGAGGTATCCTCAGTGCCACCTTCTGATGGCAAATGTTAGATTGTCCTGAATTATTTTTTTTTTTCATGCTTCTTCTATCTTCTGTTCCTAGCAAAGAGCTCCTCTCTCGGTATCCTTGTAGCATCATTCTAGCATATTATTCATCTCTCAGATGAAGTGAGACCTGAAGCCGGTGGGGTAGAATCAGTGCCTCTCCATGGTGGTGATAGCCCTTCTGGTCTGGGCACCACAGGCTGTGAGCTGGATTTCCACGTGGAATTTATCCTTGGATCTGCAGTGATACAGGGCTTTGGGTGGATGATGGTTGTTGGCGTCAGTGTGACTTAACCTCAGCTAAGAGTATGAAAGATCTAGAGTTGAGTAAAATAGATATTGAGCAGCATTCTTCCCCTCTAAGCCCTAGGAATTACAAACAATAAGCAGACGCACTAACAATGTGGAATTTTTGTGTATCTTGCTTATTCTGAAGGGGCTAGGTATAAGCCATCTTAAGAAAATAGAAGGACAGACATTTGAGGACCGTTGCTTCAGAAGTACCATGCTTACTTTTTTTCCTCTACTATTGATCACCATCTCTTTTCTGCCTTGCGTTTAGCTAACAGGCAATTCTTTAACCCAGAGGTTGGCTTCAGTAAGAGTGCATAATTAGCTGAGCTGTTGTAATCCACTGAAGTCCCGCCTTTCCACACAGGAATCTCCCTATGTCATGATGAAGAAAAATCACGAAATGCTTGAAGGCAATGAACGCTATGAAGGTTACTGTGTTGACCTGGCTGCAGAAATCGCTAAGCACTGTGGGTTCAAGTACAAGTTGACCATTGTTGGGGATGGGAAGTATGGTGCCAGGGATGCAGACACGAAAATTTGGAATGGGATGGTTGGAGAACTTGTGTACGGGGTAAGTATGGCCCTCCTCATAGGTGGAGTCATTCACTTTCAACTGTTGTAGACAGAATGGTCACCAGTGCTTTCAAGGATCTGTCTCTGAGATCAACCACACCCCACATTGCTCTAGAAATACTGTCTTTTTACCTTGTGGACATAGGAAAGATTGCAGTGCAAGCCAGAAGGAAGCATGCTGATAATTGAGCCAGAGATGTCTTTTGTCTTGAAAGCATATGGGCCATATATGTATGATGCCAAGGTGCCAGGCAGAGATGCAGCATAGATGTGTAATTAGAGTTAAGACAAGTGGGTATACTGTTTAATTATTAAAAATGGAAGATATTTGGGAAAGCAAATTGCTATTTTGTTTATTCTTCACTGGACTTCTGCGAGGGGAATAATTATTGTCATATCTCTGGTTTCCTTTCCTTCCCCTTTGATCCCACGATATAACTATGATTCTTTTCTGGCGTGATTCCAGGGACTGTTACTATCCTTTGTTTCCCTTACAGAAAGCCGATATTGCAATTGCTCCGTTAACTATCACCCTCGTGAGAGAGGAAGTGATTGACTTCTCCAAGCCCTTCATGAGCCTCGGGATATCTATCATGATCAAGAAGCCCCAGAAATCCAAACCAGGAGTGTTTTCATTTCTTGATCCTTTAGCCTATGAGATCTGGATGTGCATTGTTTTTGCCTACATTGGGGTCAGTGTAGTTTTATTCCTGGTCAGCAGATTTAGCCCCTACGAATGGCACACTGAGGAGTTTGAAGATGGAAGAGAAACACAAAGTAGTGAATCAACTAATGAATTTGGGATTTTTAATAGTCTCTGGTTTTCCTTGGGTGCCTTTATGCAGCAAGGATGCGATATTTCGCCAAGGTTGGTTACTCACCTGCTCTGACTTTATGCATTTTAGGTCTCGAGTGGATATTCATGGTGTTTATGAATTCACTCCAAAGACATTACCAGCTGCCGACTGCTTGTCCAAGCAATTTAAGGCTGTTAGAGGACAAACTTATGTTCGGCGTAAGCCTGCGAAGTATTTGAGCAATGTTCTTTGAATATTGGTCATGTATTTCCCTGGTGAAATTATACACACCATGGAGAGGCTATAAAATGCATAAGGTTCCTGTCATTCCATGCCTTCTTGGAGAGGTACCGTGTTTTTGCTGCATATTCTCATTTTACAGTCATCTGTGTGTCAATCCACAGACCTGTATATGGGAAAATGGGCAACATCATTCACTACACAAACAGCAACTTGTTAAACCAAGTTTCATCGAAAAGCATCTCAACTCTGTTATTTTCCTAACGTAAGCTCATAGAAATGGCGTGAGAGATGCATGCATTATGTATCTGTTTTTGTGCTTAGTTTGCTGGTTAAAAGGTTAACATTTTCTAAGTATCTAGAAATATAAAGAAAGGGTGAAAGATTCATTGTAAAAGCCCTGTCATATAGAATAGTGTGAACAAACGTTATAGAATAAATTCAAACACCTTTGTTCTCATTAGGATATGTTAACGTTTGTACTAGAATGCTTTATTAAATAAATCTTATGATTTTATTTATCTTACATAAAGGAATGGGAATAATAACCACATGTGGCTCTTCAGAGAAATAAATCATACTTTTTCAAATGTGAAAACCACCATTTAAGGTCTACATGGTTATCAGAAATGTCATAACTGACACATTTCAATTTGGGCCGGACTACACTCCTTTAATTCTAATCATTAACTAATGAAGTTCATGCCTTTCTGGGCCAGTTCATTAAATTGTTAGTTTTTGAACACTTTTGTAAATTATGAGTGATTACTTTCAAAAAACTATATGAGAAGCTAAAAATATTTCTATATTTTACAGTCTTTTTAGTATATTCCACTGAATGAGTACAGTATATAGACAGAGATTACCATTGGCATACTTCTCTAATAGGAAATAGTTGTAATGTTAGTGATGCTTTTAGAGTCACATTTCTATGAATTATATAGATCTTTAAAACATCTTTGTTCCATCACGTTTTTCATGGTTTTTTTGTGGGACTGCATTGAATGAGAAATATACTGTAGCAGTGATATTTGCATGCCATGGAGTATGTGCATGTGAGAGGGACTATGTGAATATCCATGTATATTATTTCTGACAAAATACAGAGGATTTATACATTCATTTTTACATTTAGTTTATCTAAGTTAAATGTATGAAGAGAATTTTATAACAAAAGAGAGAAAAATAATCAAGTTAAGATCTCAGAGGACATTCTGGTCAGTACAACTCTAAAGAAATGCTCTGGCTGTGGGACCAGGATCTCAGAGGCATGTGGCCTGGTCCTGGGATGTGAAGCAGTTGTGCCACAGGGCATAGCCTGGGCCTCCTTAGGGTGGCAGGAGAGCGCACAGGGTTTGTTAGGAAGCAGCGAATCACCTGGATTCCCACACTGGGCCTTTGTGTCTCTTGCCCACCCCTCATACTTCCTGGAATTGCAGGCAGTAGTTTGGGTGCCAGATGTTTATGAAGGAGTGGGAATATATTTGCTCACTGGGGCTGGTAGCTGGGCACCGATAAATGTAATAATGTCCCAGGGTCCACTTCTACATATAGACATCTCCATATTTTCATCATACCTGCTTCTAAATAGGTTTTGTTTGTGTGTGTGTGTGTGTTTGATTTCTTTCATGAGTCATGACCCATTATAATTTTTCACGTAATAACCGTTTTTTCTTAATAAGATACACAGGTGACAGCATAGTTTTGCTTGTTATTTATATTTTATCTCAGAATACAAATAAGTAAAATTCATTCATTTAAAATATTTAAAATATACTTATCTTTTTCTTTCTGGTCTATATGCATTTTAAAATTGAATCTACTACATCCTGGAAATTTTATGATTTTTTTTAAAACAAACCAACTATCATGTTTTAGAATGCAATGTTGGCTACTCTATATTGGAAGAGTTGAGTAGATTATCATTCAAAAACACTTGAAATGAACAGATCACTTTAGAAATGCTCTTTAAATATTTCAAAGCGTATATCTCATCCTTTAATATGGGACTGTATTATTAATGATGACATACATTTAAATTGAAATCTAGAATGATCGATTGGACATTATGACTTGATCATTTCCCTGAAATTAAGTCTAGAATATGAGCTGCAGTTTTATGAAAACCTAAAATCACAAAAATTGTAAGAGCAGTATGCCATAGATTATTTTTCTCCTTGCCCTGTTCCCCTCAATACTCTGAAAGATTTAATACATATAAAATGATATTGCATTTAAAATATTTAATAGAGGTTAAAATGAAAAATAAGATAGTATTATGCATTTGTTTCTTTAGTGCACATGATAAGTAAATATTTTTCATTTTACCAGAGGCACTATTATTTTCTATCAGCATAACTTAAATTGAATTTGCTCCTCTGCATATTTCTCAAGAAATCTATGAGAGACATTAATGTTTTAAAACATTTAAAAGTAAACAATAAAATTGTGAAGTATTTTTCACTTTTGAGTGATTTATAAGTTCAATAAATTTTTGAGTTTTCTTGTACACTTTGAATTAATTGAAATTTTAAAATCCATTAAGCCTCGTTTAAACACTGGAATAGATGACAATTGATATTAATTTTTCTTTCCTTTTATAATTGAACAGAATGATTCATAAAAATGAGTTTTATACGTATTTTAAGTTATTATGCAGTATATGGAAGCAAAAGCAATTACCCAGTAATCGAGATTTGTTTTAAGAGTTTTGGACATCCATGTACCAAATGTGTGCTCTTAAATACAGGGTACATTTGGTATAATTTTGACTCCTGTTGAGAAGGAATAAACAGTGAACACTTTGAGACTGCCTGTGTCTACATAAGGCATTTACAAGTATAAAATGTATTTAACACTGTTTTCAGAATAAAAGTAAGAGGCGCTTCACTTTTTCCATGTTATTAGATTTCTTTCATTCCATCTTCTAAAGGCTTTGTGATAAAGGCTCTTAATTATGTTCTTTTTTCTTTTTCATTGCTATTTCTATCTTTTTTTTTAAGCAACAGATGATTTTATCTTAAAGTTATCTTTCATTTTAAATTAATTTGCTCCTCTCTCTTTTTTTAACTTACTGTTTATTAACCAAACTTTCAATCTAGCATCTATTTATCAAAGGGTACATTTCTTAATGTTTAATTGTTAAGAACATTAATTTAGGCCATACACTGCCAAATTTTTGTGATTTAAATTTTTAGAAATGTTACCTTTTTACTTTAGCAAGTCTAAATTTAGACATGGCAATGTTATTAAAAACAAAGAAAACAGTCACTTTATTAGATTGTTACTAGTACTCCAATTCTTTAATTACGTAAAGAAACCCATCAAATCTTTCATAACAATATGGTAGATGTCTTTCTGAATTTACAAATCTATACCTCAAATTTTAAGATAAATTATTGGGACCATATAAGCTTTTGAAGAGATTGTATGTAAGAATTCATAGTCTCTTTTATATGCTTCATTCAAGGTGTTTATACCTTGACAAACATCCAACTTGTTTTTTATTTGAATTTTCTTTTACCTTAACCAAGAGATCCAAGGAATAGGGTCATAGCGATATGTCTGACTTTTATTCATTAAGAATTGCATTTTATGTTGGACCTTTGCATGCAGCATTATTTTTTCCATTTTTCCTGCTGCATGGTATTAAATAGCTATATTTTTTTGCACACACAGAATCCTAATGAAATTCTGGGCCTTTTTGAGCCCTTGGAACTTCCTGGCAGTGTGTAGGCAGGGTTTCCTTAGTTTTGAGTGTTATAACTGTAGAGCAAATTCTTTTTTAGTGTTTGATTTTGTTTGTACACCTTGAAAGGAGTTTTGCTGGTGATCTTAGATTACCTCGTACTGGCTTACTTACGTCATTAGTGGATACAGTGTATTAGATGAATTATCTGTTCGTTTCTCAAAATTGGTTTATTATGGTTTTGTTTAGCCATAAACTACTTGCGTGAATCTCAGGAATCTGAAGTTTTGGCCTCTGTCATCAGATCTAGTCATTCTGTTACTCCTTGCCCCCAATGGGTAGTGATTTTTTAAATGTCATGTATGGAAAAGTATGAAGGAAATCTTTCCCTGTATGTCCGTGTTTACATTCTGCTGCTAGCTGTTTAGTTACCCGATCCTTTCACTGCACAGGTCCCTGTCAGGCCGCATCGTAGGCGGTGTGTGGTGGTTCTTCACCCTCATCATCATCTCCTCCTACACGGCTAACCTGGCTGCCTTCCTGACAGTAGAGAGGATGGTGTCCCCCATTGAGAGTGCCGAGGATCTGTCCAAGCAAACGGAGATTGCCTACGGAACCCTAGACTCCGGCTCCACTAAAGAGTTTTTCAGGGTAAGAGATTCCGCTTTGTAGCTTCTGGTTTTTGTCTTAAAATGTAATTTCTGTAAAACTTTCCCCCTTGATGGTTACGCAGAAGTTTTACATGACAGTAACTTCATTTCTGTCTTGATCTCGGTTCGGCTTCTGATCTTGTCTCTGTCTCTGACCTTTTCTCATTCCTGTCCATATCCATTTCTCCATATTTCTGATTCCTCACTCTTTAGAAAAACCAAAATGTATTGTGAGGAAATACTATTTTTATAGGAGCTAGTTGTGTGTTTGGGGAAAAAAGTGAAGCACAATATATTCATTATAGTTTTTAAACAAAAAGGATGTTGTTTTATTTTACATAAATATGACTTCATCTATCTTGCAGAGTTTATATTCAAAAAATCCACCTTCAAATCAGTTGTGTTAATTCTTTGTGAAGAAGCATTTATGCTCCTAGTGAAAATTATACATTTTCTGTTCAAATGCGCTAAGGAAAGCTAATGAAGGTCTTCAATGTCCTAACATTTGATATACAATTATTACACAATTACACAATTATTACATGTCTATTTTATGTAAGTTAGTTTTTTTCATTTGGTTTGTGGCCTTTTGTTTCTAGGTCAAGACCAGGGACCTGATAAGTATCATTCATTTACTAATCTTTTTATGCAAGAACTCATTCTGTTGAAATGCTTAAACACACCTGGTTAACCTTCAGCCAGCATATGTGGTGTATAACCCTAACCCAGTGAGAAAAATTCACAACTATTTTTGAATGTAGCAGGTTTGATAACATCTTAACTCAGTCAATCATAGAGAAATATTCCTGAATCACCAGAATGTCGGGATTTCACCCTCAGAGTGCCCAAATTCTCTAGTAGATACGAAGAGAAAGGTAGCTGACTCTGAGCAAACACATTGCTGCTCTTCTGTTCGGGCTCTGACCTCATAGGCACCATGTTCCATTATGCAGTTATAGGCTTTTCATAAGGTCGTAGAGGTTGCTTTTCTTGCAATAACAGAAAATTGATGGTGGGTGTTTAGGCCAACTAATTAATTTTGCTGCCATAGTTTCACAAAGCAGTGTCTTATGCATTATCTCTTTGCACATCACAAAATTTCTATTTGCTAGTCCAGGGCTAGGTTTTGGATACGGCTTGAGTGTTCCCCACATGTTTGAGTACTGGAAGCACAGTGCCCAGTATGGCAAAATCAAAAGCTTCTAGAACCTGGGGAAGCTGGGGCACACCGAGCTCAAAGTGGTTATCCCTTTTCCTAGGGATAAATGTACCTGGTGAGTTCTGGTGACAGTAGATTCTTAGAAATCAAGGCGCTCCTCTGCCCCTGGTTTCTCTGCCCACGGACAGTGCCTTTCTTGCTTATCCACATTGTGTGATCCCACCAAGGACACACTCCCCAGACGCTTAGCAGATGGCAGTCCCCAATCTTGGGCTTTGCCTCCGAAACTCAGACCTAAAGGGACCTCTCTTTAAAAGTAAAGTACCCAGCTTCTGGGATTTCTCTCCCTCTCTCTCTCTCTCTCTCTCTCTGTCTCTCTCTGTCTCTCTCCTTCCTTCCTTCCTTCCTTCTTTTTTCTCTCTCTCTCTCTTTCTGTCTTTCTGTCTTGGTACTGAGGACTGAGTTCAGGAGCTTACACCAAGCTATGACCACAGCCTTTTAAAAATTATTTTTTATTGTGAGACACAGTCTCACTAAGTCTCTAAGTTTCCCAGGCTGGGATTTAACCTGCAGTCTTCCTGTCTCAGCTTCCCAGAGTACTGGAATTTTGTTATAGCAATAGAATGGAGACTAATGCCTCAATGCAGTGATTTTTGTTCGGCGCTGTTAAACTGATGCTCAGATGCTTTCGGGGAAATGACCAAGTTCAGGCAGCCAAGCATTGTGCTGAGCTCTGTTACTCCTAACCAGGGTTCTTCCCACACATGGTTCTCCCTTGTGTCGAGGCCCCGGGCTTTGTCTCCCTGCTTCCTTGCTTCCACCATGGTCACACTCGGGTTTGCTTCAGGAATTTGTGAGCCTTGGGGACAGGGAGCACTGCAGTGCAGGGAGACCCTCACAGTTCCTCTCAGTGCGGTTCCAAAAGGAGCTGTCACCATCACTGGTGAGCTCTCAGTCACTTGCGTATTTAAAGAAAGAGGAGGGCGGGCTGAGAAGTACATGAGACCATGCGACTCACTGTGTTTATAGCAGGAAGAGAAGCTCACGTAACAGTGCACACCACCAAACAGTAAGAGTTTGTCAAACTCATTTTTTTATTGAAATATTGGACATCATTGTGATATGAAAGATTAAGACTCTGAAAGGTTTGTTTCTCCAGGTTGGATCAAGTACGAATGTCTTCATGCTTCCTAAGTAATTTGGAGCAAGTTTGCTGCCTGTATTAATATTTGCTAATTGAGTTCCATAATGCAACTGGTGAAGGCAACGAGGGACTTTTGCTTTGGACCCCAAAATGTTTTCTAGGCTCCCGAACTGCATCCATATGGCCTCATCCCTTTTCATATATATTTTTTAGCTTTAATATAGGGAAATTGAATAAGGCATTTCCTTTTGAACAAAGATGTTCTATTCAGTGTTATTCAAAATGCATTACACAAGATTAAGCTAATTCAGAGAATTTAAAGACAAAAGTATTTGATATTCATGAACGATTTTTCCTTCAATCCAAAGGTGTACTAGTCTGTCTATTAGTTTTTGGCTGTTGGTGCAGTCGGACTTCTACGATTCTGCAGGAACTGCTGCAAAGGAAAGTCCCGTCATTGCCCATCTTTGATCCGTTCTCTTGCTCAAGTGCCCTTTACCGCTAGGGACTCTGGGATGGCGGGTGCAGCGTGTGTTCAGATGGGGTGAAAGTTGGCAGATGGGTTCTGATGGGCTCAGCCTCTAGGAGCGCTGCCGGGACGGACGAGCCCGCGGCAGACCAAGGCCTGCTCGCACTCGCTGTTCTCTGGCCATCTGTTGTGCTCGCTTAGACCCAAGACTGGGAACGCAGCTAATCACATGGGAGAACCAACTTCTGCGATTTGCTCATCTTTAAAATTCTAACACTTATAACTTATGTTTCCTAATGTGACTTAGTTGGATTTTGTTGATAGTTTATTTTATTCATTGAGTTTATTGTACAGTTTAGGTGTACATTAGGGTCGCGTTCATCCTAGGGAATTTGCTCCTGTACGTGATATATCTCGGTTCTTATTTTTTTCCCATTCCCCTCCCCTCCCTTCCACCCCTCCAGTCCTCCCTATTGATAATTTTCATTCTCCTTTCTATATTCTTTTACACTTTGGGATTTTATTGTTATGTTATTGTTTCACTTCTGCTGTTACTGAGTTTTTCAAGTTGACTATCTGTTTGTATTCAGGAAGAGCTTTGGGTGTAACATTGGAGAGACTTGCCCAGAGGAGTTAGGTCGCCGTCTAAATTTTAAATGACAACTACAGAATGAAAAACAGTGTTATTTATTAGAGAATAATGTTGAGCTCTAAAATAGAATTCTGAGCTCTTAGTCTTTTGTCTCAGTATTAATTAAAGGCTTCATAAAACATTACTGTCGAGATAAAAGTGCTGTATATCAAATTATGAAGTGAATTATAATTTTACTAGTAAACCCGGCCTATTAACATTACTCAATGAAGTCAGTATGTAAATAGCCTTAGAGGTCCAGTTTTAGAAGGTCCAATTCTAGCTGTAAATTTTCTATTAAACATCTGCACTTTTCTGCAGTTATCGTCAATAAGTTAAAAGTTAACAAAACATTTCTTTTGTCCGGCTAGAGAGAGAAAGGACCTGAAGGGCAAGCCTGTAACCACGGGAGATATGAGAGGAGAGTCTGCAATTTCCTTTAGTTTGTGGTTTTCTGCTTTTGAATCTCCTGCATATTCTTGTACAGGATTAATGATAGCTAATATCTGTCGCATTGTGGAGTCGCTGACGGCCCCTAATTGCAGTGCCAATGTAGTGCACCTATAATTAAGAGAGAATTAGGCTTTCCATTATAAACCACTATTTTTAGCTTCACATGGTGCCAGTGTTTCCCTCATAGGACAGATCTTCAGTTATTTGATTTTGTGTAGGAAATGATTGTGTAGGACCTAGATGCGGTATATTCCCTCAAGAGCGTAGATCTTTAGGATAAGAAATGACATTTGTACGCAAAACTCTAGAGCCCTGGTCACCCCGCAAAGCACAGTGATTAACTTGCAGATGGGCACCACCTCCTCCTCTTTATCCTAAATCTTCCTCACCACAGTTTGCTTGTGCCCTCTGGTCCTCTCCTCTGGGAGGGAGGGGATGCACTGCATTCTCTGAACAAGAGGTCTATTCCAGTGATGCCAGTATTGGCTGGAAATGATTCAAATCCATTGCCAAAACACAGGTGCACTTCTTATTTAATGAAGTGTTTCCATTTTCAGAAGAAAACAGTCTGATCATAATCAGTGATACGGTGTTATTGTTACCTAGCATCACAGTTTTTGCCAGAATATAGAAATGGTATAAATGATGGATAACTAGTATTGATGTAAGTATTCCTTATCAGAAGGAGATGACTCGTTTGAAATGTTCCTTTGGATATATACAACTACATGATTCACTAAATTATAGTCATGATCATCTAAGAATTATAATAATTGAGATTTTCCTTTTAAAGGCAGTAATCAATTCAGTGCCTTCTGATATAAGACATACAGATTTACGTAAGAACTTATTGAAATATACTTAGAAATAAAAACATTCTAGCCGTTATGATAGTTCTGCCATAGAACTCTTCTAAATGCTATTTCATTAATGTTAAACAGTTTCCAGTTACTGTTTGTGTTGAGCGATAACATGACATGATTTCTGTCTCCACTATGTAGGACAGATTGCAAAAATTTGTGCCCATTGTCCCCTCTGTTTTGTTATTTGTGGCACTGTGGTTCTCTTCTCTTGCCACCATTACCTGTAGCGTTGGGGAGCCTGATTATAGCAGGAGACTTTTCACAGCCGACAGGTCCTGAATG